AGTCCTTTTTGAGACCAAGCTCATATGTCGTGTGATTTGTCAGGTTGAGGTCAATGTCTTGACCGGTATATGCAGACTGTTTCTCTCCTGCGTACGCACCATTCAAGTACAACTTTCCTATCCGGGTAGAGCGATTCCAGACAAATATCACGTGTGTCCAGATTTTTGCACAAATTTCTCTAAAATATAATAGTAAATCGATATAGCTTAGAATCATTTAAAATCCGAATGCATTTATATATGTCCTACTCGAGACTACTTCTATAGCACCATACTATTCACATTGAATTTTTCCCAAATAAATGTGGAAAAGGCAAATAATTCGTCCCATTTCAAGTCTATCAACCATCGAAGAGAATTCATGACAATTAAATACGGTACCACTAATTAACCGAGAGTGAGAGTGTTCACAACTACAACACGGACTTTGTTAGACGGAACACTCACAGTAACACTGATTCCATCACTCAGACCAACGTAATCTCTGGCCCTGTCACGACTGGTCATTACAGGGAAAAAATGCCCGCTTAGCAGCTAATCAGAGCGTACTATTGTAGCCATATAATAAATGCCCAATAATCTTTTGATGAGCACGCAGCCAGGGGGAGAAGGTGTCTCCAAGGAAATCTGTGGTACAGTCCGCCTGCCAGTATGACGTCACGTCTTGCGTCAGTAACTTTCAAAATGGCGAGCAAAGTGTTAATCGAAGAGTCGGATAAAAATTTCGAATTTATCACGGAAATACTGTTCCGATTTCTTGGATTTGGAGATTTAAGGGTTTCTATTGTCAGAGAAGACTAGACTTAAGTACTTTTTTGGAATGAAATGTCCAGTGGAGTAGTGAATTTCAAAGATTCCTTTCTATCGTCGAGCAAATTTTACGGGCAATTATACCGACCGGTCATGCTTTTGAGGGCCAGTACACAGCTAGATTGAGGAGTTTAGACACAGCAATAGGAGGTTCATCAAAGGATGTATTAGACATTAAATTGTGCGTATTTTCAGCTCTTCAGAACTAGTGGAACCCCATATCATTCCTCTCAAAGTTCGCTTAGCTGTAGCGTTGAAAGAGGAAGCTAAATGACAGGTATTTGGGAGAGACTGTGAGCATTGAATATTGTTGCTTTACCCCACTTTAATATGTATGTAATTCTGTAATTAAATCCCGAAATCCAATAAAAGGTTTCGTTTAACTATTTTTGGGGGGCAACTGACCCATTGGAGATTTTAGAGTAATAATATTGGTGATTAAGACGATGACTGTACAAAGGCACTGGTATTTATTTATTTTTTCCAAAATAAAACTCCGGACTTAAGCTTAAAATATATAGTGATCCAAGTTTATGACCAGCAGGGTCAGCAGTAAGAATAAAGAAAAAAAGGCCAAAAGGAAAAATATTGTTGAAAAAAAGAGACCAAACAGAAAAAAAAAAACGGTACAAAGAAACAGAAAACAGCATCGCCGGGAGTCTCCACGTTCAAGCAACTACTTGACCACTGCACCACAGTGACACACATGATTTGAAAAATTAATTTTGTCATATCAAAACAATTTTTCTCTGCCATAGACGCTGTTTGAAGCTGGTGGAGCTGTATTTATCATGAATTCAAATATAAATTTGAGGAAAATTAGCGGCTTAAACGCGTATTTCAAAAGTATTTCGCATTTCGGCTTCAACGGGCCGCCTCGATGTAGATAATCGATCGAACTAGCTTTACTGATTTGGTGGAGAATTAGGAGATCAACAGAGGCCCACACTCGAAAGGAATGATATGAAGTTAGGCCCGTTTAATTAACAAAAGAATAGATGAAATATAAACATGTGTGATCTGTGAATGGAACCTCCTATTCTGGACACTACACCTTGCTTATTTTAGGGGAAAAAAAAAAGATTTAAGTTTTGATGACCTTGCAGGACCCGTGAAATAGATGGCGATCCCGCAACACGGGCGGCAAAACAAATTAACAAAATTATACAATCACGGACACAAAACATCAAAACGGTTTTCACAAGCAGATTATAGCAACACCAAAGCTCACATACATTCGATAAACTAAGCGATATATAGCGATATTTACTGGCTTCTTAGCTTTTCCTCGACCTCGCTCGTCAAAATAACTATCGTATCCCTTGCTAATTTGGACAAGCGACCCGAGGCTCTTGCCCGTTACTATGTGACGTCATACTGGTAGGCGGAGTGTGTCTGTTTTATCGTCTATCATAAGGTTACTCCTCACTCCCTGGTATTCAATAACAGGTTGAAAAAGAACCCGTGTAAAAAGTCATTAGAACGCTTTTTAACTAACCGATTGCTCGCCATAACAAGCAAATCCTGCAATACACCACTTCGTCTCAATTGCACCCAAACTTTTCTGTAATGCACAAACAGTCTAAACTGCCATGGTGATGACCAATCGGATATGAGATGTCTTTCGTTAATGTTTGAATCGTGGACGTTATATCGAAGGGCGATTGAAAAGCTGCTCTTCCTGAAATTGATTGCAGGAATTTCTGCGTAACCAGATATTCCGTCAAGATGCAAAGATTTAATTCCGCCGTTGGTTTGGTATGAAGCATCACCTTTCAATCTAAAATCATATGGGATAATGTAGCTTAGAATTCTTAGCTTGACCAGAGTTTTTAGCACATGACATATTTCGATACTCAGATAAACAAAATGTAATGACTTAAGGTGGAATAAACACAGTGATGTAGGTGGTCAGCGGTAACTCGCGTGATGGCGCGCGTTTTAATTATACAAACAAACATGGGGGCCAAAAAAATCAATGGTACACAGAAGACGATTTCTCAAGATCTGCTTATTAAAATTATGTGATATTTGGCAGAATTTTTACTTCTATCGTAGTTTGATTAATGAGAACTTTAAAATGGAGGTTGAACATACGATTTTTGTGCCACATTTAATAGTTATAGTACAATTATGTTATTGATTATCTAAAAACCTGTCTCTTAAAATTTGGTCAAATAAGTTTCAAATGGTAATGATTAATTATAGTAAGCTGTGTGCTAGTTTATAGGAAAATCTTATGAGCGAATTTTATGTAAACTGAGCAAAAGTGAAATTTTAAGGTTTTATTCAATCGTTCGTGTTGCCATGGAAACTACGAGAACGTCAAATTTTACCTGTCAATCAAAATCTTTCATCAGTATATTTTTCACTTGCCAAGTTTCAGCTTGTGAGTTGCAACCTTTCTTTTGCCATGATTTGGCAAATGACATATACTCTCAAACTGCCAAAATTGTGTTCAGCCACCTTAAGTAGCAACTGCGATTACATTTCTGTTCTATGTCTACTTTCAGGTGTTTCAGCCCCCATTTTCTGAATATTCCACACTAACCCCCCGATTTAAATGATTTGTTTGAAGTATGCTGGTGAAAAATTGTGTACCCATGCGTCCTTTAAACCCTTTGCGTGTTTTTGGTGCTCACAATGAAAGTCGTGTTGCGCATTTAGTATGGCAAGTTTTAATTTTATTCTCAAAAAGCAGTGAGGCTACCCTAATCTAAAGCATACCTTACATTTTTGTCGCTTCCGTCTAGTTTCCAGAAATATTGCGTTTTGAGGGGATTTTTTCCATTTTCTGGAAGAAATGTTACTTTTAAGAAAAAAGACAAACTGAAACGGCATACATTTAGTTACTGTGTAAGTAAATATTCATAGGAGCTAGGGGCCAAAAAGAGCTTTTTTATTTAGTAATCGACAGGATGTACTTTCAGGAATTCAGAATCACATTGTAACTGAACAATGCTCCTTAGAAAATATTTACACTGATAAAGATCATAATGCATTGGGCTATTGAAAAATATCAGCCGGGCTGAAATTGACCGGGATTAAGTCTTTTTTTCTTACTATCTAAACAGTGACATTACATGAAAGCGAATCTGATCATTGCAGTTCAGTAAAAACAATGTACGTGGTTGTTGTTCAACTGGGTGAATCACACTTGCCTTGCCAGGGAATTTCTTCACATCCTTCGGTATGAAAAGCTATGTCATCCACGGCAAGGAATGCCTGTTTCAAGGACGTCTGCCCTTCAAGAAGGACCTAGTTACATCCAAAAAAGACTAAACGTCAAAGACTTCACACTTGTCATGATACTGAAGTGTTTTCTCGATAAGACAAAAGGCAACATAACTTTCAGCCCCAGCCATCTGTCTTTCAATAGTTGTTTCTCCGTTTTGGGAGGGAAGCTTCTTATAACTTGCAAATACAGTAAGTCTCAAATGCTTGCCCATCAATAAACAAAAACTTGGAAAAACATATATGCAATCAAACAAAATCCTTTTTTTAATCTTGGCAGTTTGGTCCGTAATTTATGGCATGTTTAGCCTCTTTTGTCCGTTAATTGAAACTAACATATTGTAAATGATGCTTGTCAGGAAATTATCGGCCTGAAAACATCCGATAGAGTTATCAGGAATCAGTTATATTTTAATTTTGGTAGAATCAGGTCGGCTGCCTCCTTCTTTTCCAACTTAGGATAGAGTTGCGCAGCATCAACCCAAATTGAGCTAACTAAGTTTTTTGTAATCCAATAGCTTTAGAGATTTTTATTTAGCTATGGTATTTACCTGGTATGGCCTTGAGCCAGAGTCGATTGGCAAGCGAAGATACATCCAATGTCCAGTTTTTCGTTGATCTTGATGAGAGTCTAAACTCCACAAAATGGCTTTGGTTTCATTGGTTATTAAAGACACCTTAAGAGATGAACTAAATCCGGTGGTTTCAAGATAACACCAGAGCTGCATACAATTCCAACCTGCTTCAGGCAAAATGCGTCGACTTTTCAAAGTGCCATAGCACCCCGATTCTTTGTTAGTCCTTGAACAACCTTGCAAATATGTAAATCCTCCTGCAGAATATCACGTTTAAGGAATTTACAGGGAAATGCTTAATTTGGTTTATTAAAACGCACGGGGAAAAGTATACGTACCGAGGGTGTTTTGCCAATCCTCTTCGAAAAATTTCAAGGGGGAAAGTTTACTCATTCGCCAGTTGTCACTCGTCTCCCACGCGCAATGATCCTGCTCAAATAGACATCCGGGAAGGTCTGTTAAATACAGCAGTTGAATATAAAACGGTAACGTTAACACATTCGTTTAACCTGTGTCTTCGAACATATTAAATGGTTTTAATCTATCACGACCAGGACCTTCTCAAAGCCTCCGGACATAATATAGATGTAAGACACTAGGTCAGTAAATGATGCTTCAGAATTCAGTGAATTCACCATTTTCGCACTGCTCATAATACGCTCTGTTTAGTCCCCAAAATCTTGCACACGCATCTTCTTCTCGGTTTCTTTTCTTTCTTTCAGGGACGATTGCCCTGCCCAGAAGAAATTGGTAACAATGGTTAGGAACAAATTGGAGAGTGGGGGCAAACACTACGTACTATGGGCAATGCGAAAGTGTGAATAGTACTATAAATCATACCATTTAACATATCATTCGCGCTTTTAACTTTTTTAAGTTCGACTGTACTAGGTTTAAGCCCTAATTGAGGCTTTCTTCGTACGGCCAGAAGTTTAGTAGGATTTAACTAAGTTTAGCAATGGTAAACTAACCATTCCCCGTTATGGTGTCACATATATTTTCGCCAAGTAAGGATAGATCATCAACGGCAACGTCTCCGTAAATTCCACTACCAACAACCCCCTCTAAGATGACCTGGAAAGAGGAATCAGACGAGTTTAAAGGTGCCATATCTCAGTTCATCGAACACATTTATTATTGCCATATCACTCAACAAAGAGATCTGTTCTCGCTTATAAAGGATTTGTCATTCTATACAGTAAGTTAAATTGAGTGACGTAAGCTCACTTGCGGTCCTACGAACTGTCATTACAAATTTTGTAGTCAAGTTTAAAATGGTCACCAGGGGATAATCAGTCAAATCGTGACTGAACTATCTACCCATAGCCCTGCGTATTATGGTCGAGAACTATCTTACTTCATATCATCAATCCACAGCAACAACAACAACGTCTGACTAGCCCTCTCGTTTTCTGATTGTCAAATCTCGGTCATGAAAGATCACCATTAGTACGGATAGCACTTTTTAGAACAGTTAATATTAAGTTATTTGTTGCAATATTACCCCTACCTTGTAGCTCTTCAAGCCGCCTTTGTATCCAACTTGTCCAAAGTTCCATTTGTCACCTTGTTCACCTGTCGTATTCCAAACAAGCGTTTTTGTTTGATTTGTTTGAATGTAGACTTTCAAGCTTCCGACATCCTTTCCTTTCATGTGATACCAAAACTGTACACAAATAGATTTACCAGGACCAATTATACTGCTGACCAGAATGGCTCCCTCACCTGCCTTCTGCTTCGATGCTTCCAGAAATAGGTATTTTCCTTGATAGATAATTAGATAAATAAAAAGGAATAACAGAAATAAGTACATAATTAAACTTAGAAAGAAAAAAAAAAGACTAAAGAGTCAAACCAAGTGCACTAGAAACTTTATCAAAGCTTTTGTCTTTTACACGTGTCATTATAAGAACGTTTAGTTTGGAACAGCTGTCAAATTCGGTTGATCATGGTATCAGCCCATTATTTACATTTAGCATTTTCTTTATTGCTTTGTTTCTAATATTGTTGTATAACTATTTTAATTTTTTTAAAATATAAACTTAGTGCAGCTTGCTGTTTATGAGATGGTTTGTAGCACTTGGTGGCGCCTTTCCAAAAGGGAATACGAAGAGAAAACTGAAATGCTCAAGACTTAGTCTCACTACTCAAACCAACCTTCAGGTAGAAATGTGGTGTGGTCATAATCCGGACCAGTGTCTTTTGTGGGTGTTGAGCCAGACCCAACGCGCCAGTTAACTTGTTTCATCCCGCAAAGTCCATCCTCAAAATCGCATTTAACTAACACAATGCATAAGGAAGACTTCGTAAGTAGAGAGCAATGTCATTTCTGTTGTCGGCAAGAAATGATAAACCATAGTAAAGTTAACAAATGGTAAACGGCTCAGCGTGTACTATTGAGTTATGGATGCACGCTGGAGGTTGCTAAGCACGAAAGAAGCGTAAGAGTCGCACGAGGCGATAGTCGAGTGCGACTCTAGCTTCTTGAGTGCTTAGAAATTCTCCTCAGTGCAACTTAAACTCAATAGTACACGCTAAGCCGTTTACCATTTGTTTTATAACATAATCAAAAGGGAGCAACTTTTAATTTTGCTCACGGATAGTAGGGGAAATGACTTGAGTGCTGTAATCTGCTTGTACTATGGCGTGTGCAAATCATTCTTTGCAAATTTTTTTTCTTCTGAAAAACTCTTTGCAAACCATGGTGTATAAAAAATACAGTAGCGTTGAAAATAGCGCGTACGGCTTTGAGCGCGTGCTAGCTTTTGTTACAGTTCACCCATGGGAAATAGCAAATGGGCAATTGACCAATGAGAGCGCACGCTTTGACTTTTGTTCTGTTATAAATGTGTTTATTTGTATGATATTTCGCCCCAATAGGGTACCTGGACTACTCAGATTTCATCAATTTACCTGCTGCTTATTAGCAGAAATACATTTTGCACGTTATGAACAAAACGAATTTTAGAAAAGTAATCGGATTAATTTTCCTGTATGGAGACTAAGCTTTTGCACTTGCTTTTTTGATAATATAATTTTAAGCGACTGTTTCACTGTTACAGGTAAAAAGTAGTTTTCATTTATCAACAAATGTAGGACAAGATTCTTTTTTCCATACCTTTGTTTCCAACACACTGGTGCAATTTTAATGAATCGTTATAGTTAAACCAATCACAACTCAGATCAAGCAACGGACAGTGCGAAGACCCTGAAGAAACAAATTAAGTCCTGTCTAATGTATTCATTATTTGATTATTACGTAGTGTTGTTTATTATTACTACTTTTATTAACTTTCATATATTTATTTATTTATTTGTGTATTTATTATTGCTGCATATTATACACTTAAACAGATTTTGATATTTAATTCATTTGGTTTCTTTGTATCTTTCCCTTACTTGCGTGTGAAATATTGGTTATCTCGCGCTTATTAAAAACGTTAATCCGTTTTGAATTGTAATCACGAGTTGTAACGTCACGTGCAATTGTATCATGCATCACCATATGTTTTTATTTCAAATCACAGTAACCGTCAGTATTACCTGCAACTGAAGATGATCGTAGATCGATCGAAATATGTTTTGCTTCAAATTCAAAGTTGTGCCTCATATTTTAAAGAAAGTGTCGCTTCTATTTCATTTAACATTCTAAGACTTACCACTCTAGCTCTAGTATTTAGAATCACAGTTTAACAAGGGAAAGTTAAAATATACGTAGGTACACTCTTTTTTTTTCTACGAAAATATATTTTATAAGAATATCGTAGCCTGCAGTGCAGGCGTTTTCTTCGGGTGCGCGAATGTTTTGCTCGAATCTTCCTCCGTCATAACATCAAAGATGGCGGTTACAACAGCAAGACATTTACCTGCGCACTAATCTGTGCATAGTCATGAATATAAAAAGGACGAGCTTTATTTGCTAAAATATTGAAAACTTTACCGCTGATACTCTGTGAATATACCTTTAACGCAATAGATTAACTATAGACTGAAACGTTGATATTACCACATATGGATGGCTCATCTGTTCCATCTTCACAGTTCATTTCTCCATCGCACGTGAGAGACCATGGTACGCAACCGCCTCCAGCGCAAGAAAAAGCATCTTCTGAGCAGCTTCGCCCTATATTAATGAGAACCTAATTTTGTGACAAATATTCCAGGAAATAATTATAACTTTTTTGAGTCTGTTGCTTACCGCATCTTGCCTCGTCTGTTCCGTCCTTGCAGGCCTTTCTCAAGTCACATAGCTTCTCTACATCAAGACATTCACCAGAAGGACACACAAAATCACTTGTGAGGCATTTACAGTTTTTCTCGTCTGAGTTGTCTAAGCAATCAGTGTCTCCATCGCACACTAGGTCTTTGCTTACGCAATGGCCATTGTCGCACTGAAAACTACTTTTGCTCTCGCAGAGGAATCCTAAAAAAATTGAAGTTTGAGTGAAAGTTGATCAGTGAAGCTCCTCGAAGTAAAAAAGCCTCCACTACTATTTGCATATTTCAATCACTCATAAGTTCATATAAGTGCACAGACTTTACGCAGCTGGATAGCTGAACGTGCCCAGAAGGTTTTAAGAAACTCACTTAAGGATAAAGTGAAGACCATTAAGAGAGAGTACGTACCTGGTAAACTATGCAGAGGTAGTCGCTCACACTGAGTTGTAGCAATCCTAATGTTTTTAATTGTCACGGGATTAATCCCAGACATTTGTTTTCCGATAGCAGCAACCTACAAAATAGAGGGCATGATTGAATAAATCAATCCTACGACGGAGCGAAAATCTTGATCGATTATGCTACCGGAAAGACATTGTACCTTAAAATCCTCACGTGGTTTGAATGACACTTGACCTGTCTGCCAGGTTTGGCCCTGGGATCCATGGAGACTCCACAAAGAGACATTTGATGATGTCAGCAGTACAAAACGTACTGATGATCCAGAATAAGCGGAAAGAAGATAAGAGAAGGACAGGCACAATCCAGTTTTTTCATAAATAAGCTTTTTCGAAATCCACGGGCTCTCTAGGACAGTCACTTCGCCGTCAAAACGGGGGACAATTCCTGAATACACATAGAATAATAACACATCAATTACTTTTTATTGTCTTCACAGTGCAACTTTGATATAACGAATCTCTTTACAAGACGTCCTCGCGGGTCTACGGAAAGATGTTGCTTACAGCTGTAATAGTAAAATATGTGGAAAAGAACCTCGTTATAGTGAACAAATTTTGCCAGTCCCTTGGCACTTGTTTATGTCACGGTTCTACTGTAGCATAAGAGTCCAAAGAATATCCAAGAAAAACAAATAACATTTTTTTCCGAAATAAGGCTTGGTGTCGAGACCACAGCGCTAACTGGCCTGTGGCAGCTGAGCCTTCGCCGTCAGCCCAACTATCGCGTAGCAAGGGTGAGGGAACAACTTTGTTGCATCATAATTAGTTTTTACTTTCGCAGTCAACAACTAAACTGCGCAAAGTATTATTCGCAGTATGGTGCCCTGTGACTTGCACAAATTGCTTAAGGTGGCTCGACTGGATTTTTTTCAGAGGATACCTCCCATGTTTGAGCATTAACTACGTCGCCACGAGTAAAGATATGGGGAAAAGATTACCACAACTGTATTATGTAAAGATGAAAATTTCTTTTGATTTGGGTTTTATTGCAATCGGAGTCGCCATGGCAACGTAACAACGCCATTACGTTTTTTATTTATCTTTGTGTTTCTCTGTACCAAGAGTTTTTTTAAGAAATCGCTTAGGGGATTTTGTACCTGCCATAATTGCCTCAATTATGGCAAAGTTTGAACAAATTCTATGAGAGCGTTTTCGAGATATTTTGAAACGAAGTTTTAAGCATCACAAAAACAGTGAAATAGCATGCTATCTACACAATTGGCTAATTTTTTAAGGAAATGATAAGCTTTGGAAACGCAGCTTCATCTCATAGTGGTTTGATTCCATTGAAAATTGCGTACAGAAAAAAGAGGAGAATTGCTCCGGGCGATCGCGAGTAAGAAGAATTCTATTAACTTGCATTCAGCTGCTTTTGTTACAGTTTTTGCACGTAATTTGGTCCATGCCTACAATTTTCGCATTTTTTCAGAAAACCGCTCGATAAATTTTTTTATAAATTTAGCAATCTCGAGATCAGTTGGCAATAAATATACCCTGCAAGTTTCAAGAACATTGAAAACAGAGAAGGCTTTCAAATACGGCCTCAAATATAACAAATTTTCCCCCAGGTTTTGTGTTTACAAGTGAGCGTCCTCATTATTCACTGGCATTGTTTCCAGGTTTCATATGCACGTGCACATTTAGCAAAAAGAAATAAATTTGCATCAAAAAGAACTCTCGATTACTTTCGGAAGAAATATCCGGAATATGCTAACAATTGGCTTGTGTCACAGATAGCAGTGAGAGCCGAGACGGTGAACGTCACGGCTCATCGGTTAGGATGCAATACTTTGATAGTTACGTTACTCGGGCTCGGGTTATAACGTCACAGAAACTCTTACAAAGAGTTGCTGTGATGTTATAATATATCACCAATTTCTTTACCCGGTTATTAGTATATTCGGGCGGTTTAACCGAGGGTCCTTTTTGATGCAAATTTTTATCTTTTTGCTAAATGGGCACGTGCATATAAAAATTGGAAACAATGCCAGTGAATAATGAGGACGCTCACTTGTAAACACAAAATCTGGGGGGAAAATTGGTTATATTCGAGGCCCTATTTAAAAGCCTTCTCTGTTTTCAATGTTCTTAAAACTTTCAGGGTATATTTATAGACGATTGATCTCGGGATTGCAAAATTTATAAAAAAAATTTATCGAGCGGTTTTTTGAAAAATGCGAAAATTGTAGGCATGGAGCAAATAACGTGCAAAAACTGTAACAAAAGCAGCTGAATGCAAGTTACTAAAATTCTTCTTACTCGCGATCGCCCGGAGCAATTCTCCTCTTTTTTCTGTACGCAGTTTTCATTGAAATCAAACCACTATGAGATGAAGCCGAGTTTCCAAAGCTTATCATTTTCTTAAAAATTTAGCTAATTGAGTGGCTAGCATGCCATTTCAATGTTTTTATGATGCTTAAAACTTCGTTTCAAAATATCCCGAAAACGCTCTCATAGAATTTGTTCAAACTTTGCCATAATTGAGGCAATCATGGAAGGTACAAACTCCCTTAAGCGATTTCTTAAAAAAACTCTTGGTACAGAGAAACACAAAGATAAATAAAAAACGTAATGGCGTTGTTACGTTGCCATGGCGACTCCGATTGCAATAAAACCCAGATCAAAAGAAATTTTCATCTTTACATAATACAGTTGTGGTAATCTTTTTTCCATATCTTTACTTATGGCGACGTAGTTAATGCTCAAACTTGGGAGGTATCCCCCCCAAAAAAATCCAGTCGAGCCACCTTAAGATGGTTTACAGGGTCCATAACAATAGTTTACTCTTCAGCTTCCAAAGTAATATGAACTGTTAAGATCGTAGATGGTTGGGTGCACGCCTGATCGTCTTTAAGCCCCCTAGTGCTGGCACTGCATTCAGGTGCCATTACATCGTATTTAGGTCGAGACGAATAAGGCTCATATACATGAAGTATTACTGAATCAACAACACAAACCTTTGCCAGACGGTGAAAGTGTCCAACCATTATCTTTACTGCTCCACGAACAAAGGCCAGATGTGAAATTGCAACCTTCAACTAGGATAGCTAATTAAAAGAATAGAAGTGAATCTTGTTCTGGACAATAAATACTTGAAAACAACAACAACAACAACAACAACAATATTTTTTACATGCAGTCAGGATTTTCATACCTGAGATATGAACTACGTTAATTTCCCTTGAAACTTCTGATGTGCATGACAAGCAATCGACCAGGCCATACGTTACCTAACACACGACGATACGCAGTGTCATTTGAAAGGCAAATGCTTGGCAAAAACGTAATAATTTATCCACACGTATCGGGATATTTTTGAATCCGGAACTTTTCCCTTGCGGATTCTTCACCCACACGTATCCGGTGTAATCCACAACTTTTTGTATCCGCTCTCCAGAGTGAAAATGTTGAATACGCTATGAAATCCGGTTATATTTTCATCCAGTGATGTCACAAGATCGAGCCCAGTTCTTTACAGTGAATATTCAAAGCGGTGCCGTGCGCAATGTTATGGCTTCTTTACTTCTTGGACTTCAATTTCAAGTGTGCAACTAGCTGAAGTGAGAGAGTGAATCCGGATACGTGTAGACGGCCAAATTCGATTTGAATACCCGACGTGTGGACGTGGACATTTTTGAATCCGTAAAGAACAATTTGCGGATTCAAAATATCCGGATACTTGTGGACGGGGCTTAATTATATAAAACATCATCATCATCAAACAGGGGCACCCAGCGACTTTTTTCTGTAAAAATAACTGTTCGTAGGAGCAAATATTGCCTAGAAAATTCTAAAGCTTGTGAAAAGCTAAAACGTTCTGGATAACCGTTCCATTCGCCTAAAATATTCGGACATTTTCTGATAGCTTAACTACGATTTTCGGAGGTTGGGTTAGTCACATTTTAATACCAAGATATTGCGATTGTTGTTAAAAAAGGTCTCCTAAAACTTTCGGTGTAAAGACAAAACGTCCCCTAAACTTTTCTAATGAAAGCAAGGCTTTCATGTCCTCGTACTTTCGACCAGACCCATAAGGGTAGCTATATCACTTTCGGATGAGACGAAAAAGCCACCTAAAACTTTCGAGACAACCAAACTCCAAATTAACCAAACAGGCTTCTAAAGTACAGAGAAAACCATCTGAGACGCTTCTGGCGTATTTGGAAACATTGGGCTGTTGGGTGCCCCTGATCAAGTGCCCGATCTTCCGCTCTAGATATTCTTACACATCCATTATAGGTGTGTCCTAACCATTCTTTGATTTTTTCACTCAGGTAACGTTTGGTCTCCCCCGTCCTCTCTTCCCTGCAATTTTGTCTTCCAGTGACAATTTTTGGATCGACCACGCACGTTCTTATTACGTGTCCAAAATACTGGCATTTTCTTTTCTTTCATTATAAAGGTAATGATGAACTTGTTGCATTTGCCACCTTTAAAACTTCTTGTTT